CACAGTTTATACAGCTGACATTTCAACCCATCCCAACACTGTCATCACCACCTATGCCGATGACATGTCTATCCTATCAATTAACAACAATCCATCAATTGCATCCCAAACTCTCCAATCACACATCACAAGTCTTGAAGAATGGTGTCAAAACTGGAGGATTAAAATAAACTCCAATAAATCCCATCATATTACTTTTATCCTTTGTCGCAAACCTATGACTTTCTGCCCTACTGTATCCTTTAACAATGCCCCACTTATTCCTGTTTAACAAATCCGATACCTAGGACTCCACCTGGACAAACGACTCACTTGGAATCCTTATACCAGACTGAAACGACAAGAAACCGCTCGACGTTTTCGACTACTTCAGGACTTACTATACAAACGCTCAAATTCCTCTCGTATTCAATCCTTACAATCCAAAATTCTTCGTAAAATCCTCAATGCACCTTACTTTGTCACAAATAAAATCATCCTTTTTTTTTTTTACCCCCTTCCTGGCATTTTTGGCATACGGGGTTTCAACAGTGCTTTGACACGTTGGGAATACGTACCGCTACTGTTGCCAATATTCTTAATACTAATGTTATTTATTTTATTGTCACTGCGGTGCGGCCCGGAACACTGATGTGCGCCTTACTGATGGGACCGCACCTTAGTATCCAACTGCTTGCGTTCTTGCCCTCTTGGGTAGTTTCCTCCAACAGTCCCTATTGAGAAGTGTGTAGATTCCACCTTTTGCCTCCATTTTCCCACGAACTCTACGAAGTGGGGGTATTTATCTTCCACCATCAGTCGAGGAAGATAATCTTCGTCTAGGGCGTTCAGTCCCGTCCTCCGCATCAATATGCCTCTTGCTTGCTCCATCGCGGTGCATAATATAACCACGTGCTCAGTCGTATCAGGAGCACCGCAGTCGGGACATGAGGGGTCGATGTTCTTCCCATGCTTCCTGAGTTTGTCTCTAAACCCCCCATGTCCCGTCAGGATCTGTGAGGTCCAGTAGTCCGGCTCGACCCAATGTAGAAGTGTTTTCTCAAGGTGGCTCTATTCTCACTTACAATCCACCGCCCATTCCACTCCTCTAGTGTCGTCTCTCGGACTATGCCACTCCATCTTCCTGGATCCTCACGGATCCTCCGTTGAAGCCCCTCTGGGAGGGGCCTCCAGTCCCTGCCTCTTTAGGTCATTCCTCCAAGCGTCCTCCTGAAGGACGAGATCCAGAGGCAACTCCCCGGCCAGCACTTGCACCGCTTCGTGGGACACGGTTCTGTAAGTCCTAGTCCTCCTCATCAGGGCGAGTCTTTGGATGGTGGCCATCTTCTTCTTCTGCACCTGATTCAGGCGACGGCTCCAAGCTGGGGATGCATACCTCAGTATACCCAGCACAACTCCCTTGTAGATGATTCTTGTCACTGGGTATCTGTGGCCCCAAAGGCACCCCCTACCCGTGCAAGGCCATTTAGGGACAGGGCCACTCTACTCCGTAGGTACTCTTATCTGAGGATAAATATTAAATTTTGATTTAAATCTCACGCCTAGGTTGGTGATCTCCTCACCTAGGTGGACTCTATCTCCTCCTACTCTGAGACTAATAGGGTGGGCCCTGTCCATAGAACCCTTCAACAGTATGGCCTGGGTCTTTGCCGCCACCATCTTCATTTTCTTCATTGCACACCATTCTTCTACTATGCACACCATCTTTCTCCTTCCGCCACCAATCTCGATTTGCTATTCGCTGCTACTATGGCAGCCAGGTCATCAACATAGGCAACGGCACCGAAGCCCGCTACCTCCAATTCCTCCAGCAACTGGTCAAATACTAACTTCCACAGAGCCGGGCCCAGGACTGAGTCCTGTGGACATCCTCTTTCTATTTTCCACTCTACCTCATAGAAGGTACCCCGTATCCTAGCTTTCCTATCGCTGAGGTACCCCCTAATGAGGGAGTACAAGTTGCTGGGGGCGTCGAACTGTTGGAGGCGCTGGATACGCTGTCAAAGGCGGAAGATATATCAAAGAGGACCATCATCACATATTTCTCCGCCTTGTCATCAACCTCTCTGCCTAATCCCTGCATCAGGGCATCTCCGGTGCCGCGACCCTTCATGGATCAGTATTGCCTCGGGTGACACGCTGCCCGCAGGACTGGCGCCAGACTCTTTATAATGAGGTGCTCCAGGACCTTGCTCATTACAGGGAGGAGGCATATGGGTCTGTAGGATTTTGCTAGCTGCTTCTCCTTGCCTCCCCCCTTGTCTAGCAGTCTCATGTCGGCGATCTTCCATTGAGTTGGGAAGTGCCCCCTATCCAAGCATTCATTCATTATCTCAAGTAATTCTTCTTCAATATAGGGAGCACTCCTCTTTAAGATCGCCGTATCGATGGTGTCGAGTCCCAGAGCTCTTCCTAACCTTTGTCTGTCTATTGCCATCCGCAGGTCCCACACGTCCCATGGTGGAATGAACTCCGTGCCAGGCGGATACTCCGTAGTTTGCCTCAGAACCTTATCCTCTTCGTTGTCCTGGGACGGGTCATCCCTAGGGTAGGTCTGGTCCAAGTATCTTCCAACTGTTTCCTCGAGGGTGGCTGCTGGTCCACCTGCAGATCTTATTGCCGCCATTATTTGACCAGGTTTAAGTTTATCCATTGCCACCCTGTACGGAATTCCCCAGAGATTCTTCTCACTTTCAGTTTTTATGAACTGGTCCCAGGAAACTCTCTTCTGGCGTCGCACTCCGGCCTTATATAGCCTATACTTGTCCCGACATTCTTCCCGGAGTGCTGCTTTTCTTTCTTCCACCCTGCACTTTTGATATCTACGCCTGGCCCTGTGATACTCCTTCTTGAGTTCTGTCCGCGCTGGAGTCCACCATGTAGCGCACTGTTTCCTCATTCCTCTGAGTTTCAGCGAGTCACCTGCTGCAGCACATATTAGCCTGCACAGGTTCTCTACACGCTGGTCCAAACAGTAGCTCATATGGGCAGTGGGATTCGTACTCTCTTCCCAGTCCTGGTCCACCAACTTGGACTCTAGAGCGCTGGTAAAGAGCGCCCAGTCGGCCGTCTTCGTTACGAATCCCCATCTTCTTTCGCTGTAGTGGTGATCACTGTCCTTTAACTTAAATCTAATGGTTCTGTGGTCGGAGCTCGTGTCAGACCGTAGGGACCAGTCAGTAATCCTCCTTGACATGACAGGAGTTGTCAGGATTACATCAATCCAGCTCGGGCCCCTCTCTCCCACAAATGTGGGTGCAGAGAGCTCGTTTAATATGATAAGCTGGCATCTGGCTAGGCAGTCCTCAACTGTCATACCCCTTACATCTGTTCTAACTGACCCCCAGGCCGTGCTCCACGAGTTCGTGTCAGAGCAGACTATTACGTTCCGATATCGGAGTGCAACAGCCTCTAGAGCAGCAACATTATCAGTGATATCCTGTTGAGGTGGCATGTATGAGGATACCAGTACAAAAGCGGTATTCCTCCATTTAACATAACATGCCGCTTGGTCCGCTGTCATGTGCTGCCCCAGCTCCATGACATCGAGAGCGGGATTGAACACAATGATGGCTGCCCTGGGCCTCCTCTCTCCACTGCCCAGCGCCACCACCCTCGATGCCACTCCGAACCCGGCGACCACACCTCTCATGTACCACGGCTCCTGTACTGCCACTATATCACAGTGCCGGGTCATTTCTCTTAACTCTTCCACCACTGCGCGTCTTCTGCCCATGTTGAGCTGAACCAGTTTAAGCTCATCCATATCTGGTCTTCTGGATCTGCGCCTTTATCTGTTCGATGTGTACCGGACAGTCCCTATTCCCAGCACAATGGTCCATACCCATTTGCTTTCCAGCTATTTTGCAGTTCTTGCATTCTGGAGGTAGGCCACTCTTCCTATTTGGGCATTTCACCACCTTGTGGCCCTCTCCCCCACACCACTTACACGCCACTGATTTTTCGCATTTGGCCATTATGTGTCCATAGGCTAGACACTTTAGGCAGTGGGGAGGGTCCAGATACTCTTTTATATCTAGGGTTCACCATCCTCCTCCTATCCTCTCTCCTCTGAGGATGTCCCTTGCTATAGGGTGGACCTCATTCACCCACCTCCTCTTTAGGCCACTTCTGTCAAGGAAAGAGAAACGTGACCTAAGCCATTCTTTACCCTCCTTCTGGTCAGGTCTCTTCAGGCCCCCTGATTTCAGTTTATGCCACAGGGCACTTTCTAGGGTCTCTGCTTCCCAGTCCTTGGGAACTCCTTTCACCTCTAATTTGGTCCTCTTAGTCCTGGCCAACCTAGCTACTAAACCTTTCTCTCCTATAGTCTACCACTTTATGAGTTTCATGGCCAGGACGGCCTTGCCAGCATGAGTAACTTTCACTACTTCCACCTGGACACCTTCCCCTGCATCCATAAGACCTTAACATACCATATGTTTCCGATTTAGCCCAATCCAGATACCTATCCTTCCATAATAAACCTCTGAACCATTCGAACCCTCTTGTTTCCAATCTTGCCTCCTCTTCTATTCCTGATAACCCTCCGAGGCGTCTGAAAAGAAGATGCCTCGGGACCTTCTAATATGGAACTTTAATTTGAGTTCTACCAATGGGTAGTTTCTCTTCATGTCATGTTACCGATGTCACATTTACTTGTTTTATTTTTCATGTAATACCATTGTAAATTTCATTAAAATATAAAAAAAGAAAAGCTCCATCAAAAAAGCACTTCGACAGCTTTTTTCAATAGCCCAATTTTGGCAGAAAATAATTTCCACCCAAAGTTAAGTTGTAAGGGAAAGTTTTGTGTGATGGAAAAGATTTTGTGATGCCCAAACCTCATCATATTTTTCTAATTTTAAGGAAATGTAAAATTTTAATATGAGGTGTTGGTGTTTTTTTTTTCCTGACTGCTATTTTCTTATTTATTTTATTTTGTAATATATATTTTATGTTTTAAAAATATTCTTGAACTTAATTTTAGTAATTTACAGAGTTTTGAATGTCCAAGTGGTTCCAGATACTTTCAGTGCTCGCTATTCTGCCATCAGAAAAACGTATGCGTATAGATTTGCAGTTGTGAAACCTGATGTATTACCTCATGTACCATATAAATCAAGTGTATTTCCATTACCTATAATTGAAAAGGATAGATGCTACTTTATTCAGTAAGTTTATTTTATAAACGTATATTAATACTATTTGGCATTCACCTATCAAATCAACCTGTAAAAATTTTAGAACTAAGATCTGCTTCAATTTATAATAATAATAATAAAAATGTTTGCAGTATTCAGAATAAGGGTGATAACTACAAATCGTAGATTGTGTAACATTCCTTTATATCCTCTTATAATTTGTAATTTATAGTTGACAAGTTTTTCCAATTTTTTTTATAAAACTCAAAAAGATGAATGGTATTTTCTTTTTAAAGTATATTTTTTAAAGACATTTTCTGTCTCTCTCAACGGGAGGTTATGGGGTCACTGATTTCAATAAAACTGTTTTTTTATGAGAAGGAGTTGATCGGGGGTGTGGTCAAATAAATACTAAATTATACAAATAGTATTATTTCTTTTTTATTTATAGTATTAAGTGTTTTTTTTTTTTTTTATAGTAGGTCAAAAAATATTTGACCAGGGTTCTTGCCAATGCGCCCTAGCAGCTGAGAAAAAAATATGTCATAAAATTTAATTATTATTTATATTAATGTTTTCTGAATTTGCTCTTCATGGATTTCTAAATTATTCTATATCAATCGATTTTTTTTTTTATATAAAAAAAGAAAACAATATTGCTAATTGTGTTGAACAAATTCTAATGTACAATAAAATACAAAAACCCAAAGATGCTTCCAGTAAAGTAGGCCAAGTAAATATTTTTTTCAAAAAAATGGGAATCAGATTCGTTTTTAGGGTCCACTAAAACTCTTAAATACAAGTTTATTTCGAAATCAAAAAATCTTAATTTTATGGGAGGATTTTTTTCCATGCTATATACTAAAATATTCATAAATCCTCCGGATTTTCTACTTAGTCAACATTACTACAACCGTTGGAAAGATAAATTATTGCTCTTAAAACAATACCAATAACTTTAAGATTTTACGCTTTTATAAGAAATAAATAAATAAAAGCTCCCCAAATGTTTTTATTTTTCATCTCCAAGCCTAATTTATTTATGGAAGTCTGCTTTGGCCATTTCGTTTATATTATAAAGCCCTAAATGCATGCTTATTTTTGTATGAATAAATAAAGCTGTGTCGAAGTTATCACAACTTATGTGACTCTGAAAAAAAACTAAGGTTTCGGCTTGGCAAAAATTTTGAGCAAAAATTTTTATTTTTCGATTGGTATAAAAATTCGATATGTGAAATACAAATCTCAACTTTATTTGTCCTAAAAAAAAATTTGAACCCACTTCAGTTCACTCCTTAGGTCAGTAATAATTGCTTCAATATTGTACTCATTCTATTAATAGCTGTATGCCAAATGTATATATTTTTCTAAACTGGATGGGTATCGAAAGTAATTTGATATTTTATCGAGATTCGATATGAAAATAAGAATAAAGCATGTATTGTACATACTTTACCATGAAATATATTTTTTTGGAAAAAATGATGTGTTGATATTAATTTTCCACACCTCTAAAAATCCTGAAACAAGAATTTCCATTGTATTCGAAAAATATAAATATTTTGCTCAATTCTATTAATAGCTCATGTGAAATCCATCTATGTTTATAGCATTATAGTAGATATTAAAACTGTTTAATATATTTAAATATTAATAATTTTCATTACAATAGAAAAATGAATACTTTACTAATATCTACTATAATGTTATAAAACAAAGATGGATCTCTATGAGCTATTAATAGAAGACGGAATATTGTGCAAAATATTTATATTACTTTATTGCAAAAAAACTTCTTATTTAAGGGTTTTTAGAGGTGTGGAAAATGAATATCATCCCATCATTTTCCCCCCAAAAATATATTTCATGGTATAATATGCACAATACACACTTTATTCTTAATTTCATATCGAATGTCGATAAAATATCAGGTTTGTAAATACAATCTTACTTTCGATACCCATCCTGTTTAGGAAAATACATTTGGCATACAGCTATAGACTGAGTGCAATATTGAAGCAATTAATACTGACCCTAAGGAGTAAAGTGGATTTAAATATTATTTTTAAGGAGAAATAAAGTTGAGATTTGTATTTCGCACCTTAAAAACCTTTAAATACGAATTTTCATTTTTTTATTTATTTATTTTTTATTTGGGTTTTTCTACAACTTAGGGAGTCATATTCCCAACACCCAAAAGCCACTGCTCCCTGTCCATCCAATCTCCTTCACGGAGCCCTCTGGCTGCCATGCTTTCCTCTTCGTCCTCTATCCATTTCTTCTTTGGCCTTCCACGCTTCCTTCTTTCTGGTGGCATATAGTTATAAATTTTCTTTGGCCAGCGGTTCTCATCCATCCGCATTAAGTGGCCATACCACTTTAACCTTTTGGTCCCGATCAGGTGAAGGATGTTCTTTTGACATCCGACCTTGTCTTTAATTGCTGCGTTTGGGATCCGCTCGATTCTCGATATGCCACAGCTTCTCCAGAAATCCATTTCCATTGAAAGCAACCTATTTTCCACCTAGCAACCTAATTGTCCAAGCTTCTGATGCATAAGTGGCTACGATTTTTACAAAGGAATGGTAGATCTTCTTTTTAGTTTCCTGTTTACGAATTTTCATACCAATCGAAAAATAAAATTTTTTTGCTCAAAATATCATCCAAGGCTTCAATTTTTTCTCCAAAACCACAAAAGTTGTGATAACTTTGACATGATTTCACTTATTCATGCAAACATTTTCATACATTTAGGGCTTTATAATATACATGAAATGGCACAAACTAGATGTCCATAAATAAATTAGGGTTGGAGATAAAAAATAAAAACGTTTGGGGAGTTTTTATTTATTTATTCCTTATAAAGCTGTAAAATTATAGAATTTAATAACGTTGGCTTAAGAGAAAGTCTTGAGAAAACTCCTCAAGTTATGAATATTTTACTATATGGCATGCAGAAAAATCCTCTCATAAAATTAAGTCATAATAGCTCATGACTTAAATCCAATCATGACTTAATTTATGGGAGGATTTTTTTCATTGATAATCTTAGTATTCATAATAGGATAATAGATAATCTTTGGGTTTTTATTATTTATTATACATTAGAATTCGTTCAACACAACTACCAATATTGTTTTCTTATTTTACATAAAAAAAACTAATTGATTTATATATGATAACTTAGAAATTCATGCAGAGCAAATTCAAGAAACATTAATATAAAAAAAATAATAAAATTTCATAAAATATTTTTTTTCTCGGCTCTTAGGACGCTTTGGCAAGAACCCTCGGACATGGGTCAAATATTTTTTGACCTAGTATCATCATAAAAAGTTTGGTTGAAATCAGTGACCCCACGTCTGTAACCTCCCCTTGTCAGTGTACCATTTATTATTATTACTTTTAATTTTTTTACTTCTGAATAACTAAAATTTTTTTTCATTTGAAGGCTTATTTTCAAGACTCTAGAACTTGGTCACCAATATAAGTTTAAAAAAATTCTTCTATATTAAATTATAAAGCAATTATTTGAGGCTTCTTCTAACAAAAAGGAGGAAAAGCTTCCAAGATGTCTGCTATTATGAGTACTTTATTCCCACACAAGAATATTCATAAACAAACATGGCAAACCGTTGATGGGAAAAATGCTAATCAAATAGACCATTTCTGTATTGATAATATGCATCGCAGATGTACAAGGGATGTCAGAAGCTACAGAGGACCTTGCATTGATTCAGATCATTACTCAGTAGTGATGAAATTTGTACTAAGTATAAGAACGATAAAGGTACCTCATTATCTACCCAAGACAAAGTGGGATTCAGAAAAGCTAAAAATGAAAAAAAACGACAATACAGTTTAAAGAAAATATGGATAAGAAAATACATGAGTATCACCTGGAAATGGCTGATGGCTTAACTATTGTTGATAAGTGGAACAAAATAGAGGGGATAATCTGAACCATGGCTGCAGAAACTCTTGGAAGCATAGAACCTAGAAAAAGAAATAGATGGTTTGATGATGAATGCAAGGAAACTATCGAAAAAAGGAATGCCACTCAATATAAGTGCTTGCAGCGACAAACAAGACAGTAGAAAATGGAATATCATGAATCAAGAAGAAGAAAAAACAAGCATTAGAGGAACAGTTGAAGAAGATTAAGGAGTTGGCCAATAAGAATGAAAGCAGGAAGTTTTACAAGAAAATAGGAGCCATCAAGAAAGGACACTCATCTATGGATAGTTGGGTGAAAAACATAGAATGTTAACTGCTGACTGATGGGAGGAATATTTCCAAGAATTATTGACTAGTTACTACGACAATGTAAATGGAACAGCAAGGATCCCCCATAGTGAGACAGAGTATGGATGGAAGAAGAAATACGTCCAATACTGGAAGAAGTGATTGATAAATTGAAGAGAAACAAATCACCGGGTATGGACAATATAAATGCCCAACTCTTCAAATACATGGGCCCTAACCTGCTGAGAGAGGTACACAGATTCATAGAAAGGATATGGAAGGAAGAAAGAAAGGATATGCCAAAAAAAAAAAAATAAATAAAAATGGAGTTGTGGAATAATCACAGTGGTACCAAAGAAAGGTGATTTAACAAAATGCAGCAACTACAAAGGTATTGCACTGCTTAATATTGCATATAATATTTTTGTGGCATTCCTATACAACCAACTGATACCATATTATGAAATGGCAGTTGGCGAATATCAATGTGGTTTTTGAAGAAACATATCAACCATTGACCAAATCTTTGTATTCAGGCAGATTGATTAAAAGATGTGGGAGTACAATATGGTTACATGGCGATTGTTTGTTAATTCAGAGCAGCACATGACACAACCTACAGATCCATGGTGTTAGGCTATAGAAGAAGCAAAGATCCCTTCTATACCAACAGTTTTAACGAAGATAAAAATAAGGCCCACCAATTTTCAAAAAAGAGTGAATGAAGATTTGTTAAAATCCTTGGAAATAATGAATGGATTGAGACAAGGATATGCACTGGCCCTTTTGCTGTTCAACTTAGTTTTTGATAAGGTTGTTGAGAAAGTAAGGATAGAGAGTAATAGCAGTTGCCAATAAATCACTACTATTAATGGCCTACTCAGACAACGTATTGATTGTGGGAAGAAGCAAGTAGACAATTAATAAGGCATATGTCATTTTGAAAAGGCAAGAAGAGCTGGCCTCGAAATAAATGTCAGCACAACCAAACTGATGATTGTAGAGAGAATGAGGCAGCAACACCCACTTCATTATAACTTAGGCGGAGAAAACAGTAGTATTGACATTTCCTTACCTATGATCATTAATGAGCAATGAAGCCAAAGAAACATAAGAGATCAAAAGAAGGATTCTATCAGGAAATAGGACATATTATGCTCTTCGACACCTAATAAGAAGTAATCTCTTGTCAAAATAAAATCAGAATATACAAGATCTTTATCAGACCGGTTGTTAGTTACAGTAGTAAATGTTGGGTAATGAACAAGATAACCTGTGACAGGCTTGAAAGATTTGAGAAGAGGGTACTGTGTGAGAATGGAATGTGGTGAAGCAGAAAGAATAGAGAAGTATATAATATCTACAACGATCTGTCTTTGTCAAAGTCTACACGAATAAGTACGCTGAAATGGTTTGGCCATGTCAACTAAATGTATGAAGACAGACAGCTGAAGAAGCTATATAAAGGAAAGATATTTGCCACTAGAGTAAAGGGTCGACTAAGTGCACGATGGAAAGAGAAATTGGAAGAAGACACGCGACGGACTAGTATCCGTTTGGTGGGTGACAGAGCCCCGTGGCAGTAGATGTTGAAGCAGGCCAAAGTCTACTTCTGTCTTTAGCTCCAGGAGAAGAAAGAAAAGAAGACTAATAAAAAGGGATAAATTTAAAATCTAAAATTTTGCATAAAAACACAAACAAACCGAAAAATGTTTCCCATTGGTAGAATAAATTTCTAACAAGTTGATGTGCCTTTTTTGTTTTTTATTGGTGCATATTAACTGTTTAGTAAATATTTATCTTATTAATATAATAAACCTATTAAAATGCAGGTGGGAAAAAATAGATTCAACATTTTTGTTAATAGATGCCTCATTAACACTTTGTTGACCGGCAATTTCAAACAGAAACTGTCATGTCACTGCCTATTATTTTTTAATGCAAGTGCATTGACGAGTTAACTTGTCATTGGTCAATAAGACCTGGACATGAAAAGACAGGTTAACTCGTCACCGGTCACCAGTATATTGACTGTATGTAAATGGGTTTTATTTTAAATATCTGTTTTGTTTTTTTAAATATTTCATTGTTCTATTACGCAGTAACACTGAATCGATAGAGCCTTGTCTTCAAAATCGCATTATGTGAATTAATAATCCAAGAATTATTTTTGAAGTTTAAAAATATAAATAAAAATAACACGGTAATACAAAGGCAAATAATCTGAATATTTAAGTAAATTTGAAATTATAAAAGGTGATTGTAACTGATCAAATTCATCACACCAAAATAATGTTTTCATTCTTTGTTACTTGCAAATAGCTACTGAAGGTTTGTGAATTGGTGGCTAAAGAAACTTACCACCAATGCAGATTTATCCTTACTCCCCTTAAAATTTTTTAAAAATTTTATGTTTCTAGATAAGTAGAATCGTAAAGTCAAATATAACTAATCTATCTGTTTTCTACTCACCATCTGAGGCATTTCCTAGAGACTTCTGTGCCGTTTTTTTAGATTCAGCTACTATTTAGCCACAGGTTAACCCTGAATGATCCTTGGAACTCGACGTTATCATCTGCCATTTCATTTCAAAATGGCAGCTGATTAGAGATTTCAGAACAATTTTAGTTTTAGTTATTTGAGTGAAAATTAATTCAAATCTCTACAAAAAAATATAAAAATTGGACTAAAAAAGCCAAGATATGACATTTTGAACTTTAATACACATTATTTTAAAGTTTTCAGAACATGTTCCAATGCAAACCCATCTTACTTTTGTAACTCAAAAACTTTTCTTCTCCTGGAACATTCTAGATAGTTATTTGGATTTTTTTTTTTTTCAATTTTCTACAAACCTTGCAATAAAAAAAAATTGTGTCAATACTGAGGAACAATTTTCAAATAATGAACTATTATATAATAATTTGCAGCGTTTATAGTATTTGAAAACGCCAACTCACATTCCCTCTTTCTAGATCCTGAATGTGCTCTCCTGATCCCAGGGCTATTCCTTGGCTAATTAAGAAGGTTTTAAAATTCTACCACAACTGAAGAGCCTTAGGCCTTATATATGGAAGTATCACATATAATATAACAAATAATAATTATAACAAAAATAAAAAATAAAATTTTTTTTCAACTTTCAAATTTAAATGCTTTTAGTTTTAATGTTTCTCATAAGGAAATTTTATTTTTATTAAATTTAAAATACCAATTGACTCTAACTTCTCATAGGTTACAAAAAAGAAACTATTACTTAATATTTTAAGCCTTTATGTACATTAACACAATGTAGACTAATTTCAAACTATGACATATTATGTTTATTTAACGAATGAAACTATGTTTATTTAATTATTGTTTCACTGAAACCTAAATCTTTTATATTTTCTTCTCTAATCGGCTCAGTTTGATTGTATCTGTTTTTGTTTTTGTGGAATACAAATCAATAATTTGAGTATGAATTGCAAATTATTTGTAAATAATAATAAATTAATAAATAAATTTATTTCCTTTATAAAATTAACTTACTTTTACTACTAATATAGGAAAAATTAACTAGAATACTTATTACTTCTATTTATTATTACAGAAATCCGAGGTTTGATATATCTTTAGCAAAAGAAGCTGCCAACTTGTTCGTTGGTTATAAAGACTTTAGAGCATTCATGGGCAAATCATTAAACCCTGAGATAGTTACGCAGCGTAATATTGAGGAATTGTCTTTAATTGAAACATCATCTCTTCTACCATCTGCAGAAAGCAAGTATTATGACTTCTGGCAAGTAACTTGCAGAGGGAAATCATTTCTCTATCGACAGGTAACTATATTGTCATAAGTTATATCTAGCTTATTTTGAAATCGTAGAATATACAGGATATTCCATTTTAAACAATCCAATGACAAAATTCTCAAAAACTACAGAAGACAAAAGAAAAGAAATAAATAGAATATAATTTGTACCATTAATTCTGCTTGGTGTGATATGAAAGAACTTTCTCAATGTATATTACCTTAAGTATCATTTTCTTATTAGATAAAGTTTTAGTAACATAATTGAAAAACAATTGAAGTTATATTTTTATGTTAGCTCTAAAGAGAGGGTCCTAATTAGATTTAAACTTTATGAATCAATGTTGTCAAAATACTTTATATGTTGTTTTTAGGTGAGAAGAACTGTTGGAGTTTTGATTGCTGTGGCCCAAAAAAAGATTTCTATTGCAGAAGTCGAAGCTATGTTTGAAAATCCAACTAAAGATTCATGGAATGATAAAGCTACTGTGGTACCACCTTATGGATTGTACCTGCAACAAGTTGAGTACAGGGAAGAAGATTTGCTTTGTGATGTAGAAAGTAAAAAAGAAATAGATATTAGAAGCATTTAAAAATGAGTTTTTTGAATAATTTATTACTTAAAAAGAAAAACCTTAACCACACCAATACCATGGTTCGTCGTACTGACGGATCTCTTTCAAAAGAAGATGTTTACACTGGTAGTCATGAGGCTATTTCAACAGGTTTAGGTTTTGTGGTGGATAACAAACCAAATCTTGAAGTTACTGAAGTTATTCAGGGTTTGCTGATGGGCTCACAAGATGTTGCTCATTCGGAAGCTTTGTTAAAGAACTATTCCATTAACTGTGTGATTAGCTTAGGAATAGAAGTTCCGTATTTTGATGGAATTAAATATTTATGTGTAGAAGTTTTAGACTTACCTGAGTTCAATATTATGAATGTTTTTAAACAGTGTTTTTCATTAGTAGATGCTGAAAGAGAAAATGGAAATGTTGTCTATATACATTGCAATGCTGGTGTATCTCGGTCAGCATCTTTTGTCATTGGTTATATAATGAAAGAATTGAAAATGAATTTTGAAATGGCCTATGGCTTGGTTAAATCTAAAAGATCATCTATAAAACCTAATGAAGGATTTATTAAGCAACTAATGGAGTATGAAAAGAACCTCTTTGGATCTGAATGTTTATAGTTTTTATTTTGTATGCATGTTAAAAGTTATTCTTGTTTTTATTCAACATTACCTTAAATTAAATAAAATATTTTAGTATAAAATATTCTTTTATGAACAATTGTTTAGTTTTAGTAGAACCATCTTTCCTCATACATCTCACCTATTCAATAATTTTTTATTTTTTAAAAAGGATCTGACTAATGCCATCTTTTCTGAACAGAATCATTTCAGAGAAATCATGCTCCATTCCTGCTAGCACTATAGCACCATCAAGTTCTGGTGAACAACTCAGGTTATTGGTATAAGTATAAATTCAGTTTTTAGTTTGTTAAAAATAATAGTTGGCTCTACTGAAATTAGTTCAGACAGAACTCTCTTCCTGTTCTTGCTTTATTAATCTTTTTCATCATATGCTACACAAAACTTTATTTATATTTAACAAATCTAAGATTGTGTTTACAAAACTTACTTTTACCTAGCAACCTCATTTTTTTAATCAATTTGATTTGACAGTTTTACTATGAAACTGTGGGACTAATGAATTAAAAAAGTCAAAGGATTTTGAAGTTCAAACAGACTGAAAACCTACCAATATAATTCATATTATTTTTTAAAAAATTGTAGTTTATTGGTGTTATTTCATGTATAGTTCAGCACCTTTGATTCTTAAATTAAATTCAAATAGTCATTCTGATACCCTCTAAAAATACTTTTATTCATTTTAATGCTTAATAAAAAAAAAAATGAAAAGGCTGCTCACACACACTCACTGCATGACATTACGTGCGTTTCATTAAGAACCAAAGTCTCCTCCATTATCGTTTATCCCTAGTCTTAGTGCGCCATCATCTGATGTTTAGCTGTTGCGGGTCCTCTTCCCCATTATCCAGCTATGGTTTGCGAGGTTTGCCTCTCATTTGAGAACCTCAGGGGTGACCATACATTTGTCTGGGTAATACATCATCCACTCGATTTCTTTGGTTTGGCAATAATGCACTATGACCACAAGGGCTACTATTGTGCTCCATGTACAACTAATTTTATACTAAAATGTTAATTTTGTCACATTTGTGTACTTTAATAGGCTTTTGGGATTAATCGACTCATAGCTTTTAGAGTCATTCAATTGGTCCTCACCAAACAGCTCGAGTCTAAGCTTTGCAAACCTATCTCACTGACACACAGTGTGAAAGGCTGTTTCATTCTCACCATGACAGAATCTACAGTGGATCCCTGTCAGTCTGAGATTGTACATATGATAATTTAACCAGTATAGATCGCTATAAGTTTTTTAAGGGCTGTTCTATCCAAACCGAGTAGCAGTTTGCTCATTTTATCGCAGAGCCCTTCAAGGACCAGCTTCAAATGCTGCTGTTTCCTGTCAGACCATTAGTGCTTGAACTTAGCCCCATATAGCTCCTTAATCCTTCTTTTGGCAATGCTTAGGCTTGTTCCACTTCACTATTGTATAATACTATTATTGGAATGAAACTTAGTATGAAAAATAAGATTAAATTAATGAGTGAATTGTTGAGGATATTTATACATTAAAGGATATTTATACAGTAAATATTGACCATTTAGGGTTATTTTTTATTTCTAATCATTAGTGTTTAGATCTTGACTACATAATGACCTCATTTTGGTCTCTAGTTGTGTAATTAACAAGGTCGTCATGAGTTTTGTTGTAGTGTGAAATGATCCAGAAGAAATAAAATAATCATGATGATAACAGATTACAAAAATAATTTAACATACCTATATCATACTTATTTCTTTTGACGTTCTATACCATGTAGATCTTGCAAACATTTATTGCTTCTTGGATAGCCAAGAGGGGGTCAACCAACCTTACATTGCTATGAACCATGATTCACATCCATTAGGTTCCGTAACCGAACTGGGATCAACTTGGCAGTGTCCTTCCCATTGACTCACTCGGGTTAAAGGTTATTGACAAATCTGAATGGGACCATGAATTATGAATGTTTAGGGTCATTAGGTCCATGAAGACCTATATTTTTGTTCCCTGGAACTGAGAATCTACAGACCAAGCCTTTGGACAGCTACTGGTATCTTAGGATTGTTAGACAGTATTATTAGAACATACAGAATTGTTAGACTACTGTATCTTAGGACAGAGAATGGGTAGCCATCCACGTTGCAGTTTCCAGTTAAAGTTCTATGATCAGTGTTAGTTGAGAGAATCTCAGGCTGCTTGGCTTTCCCTGATGAATGGTCACCGATACAATTAGTTACCATTCTCAACGTTCCTGAACTTAAACTATTACGAGCTGCTTAGCCCGCTCAGGCATCCACCACTTAATCAATTAATAAAATATTAACTTCATTATTTTTTTTTCCCATTCACAATATTCACATATTAACTTATCAGGGTTATTTATTATTGTCTTGGAAAAAAATGACAATTTATTTAAAACAAAAAAATTATAAAAGTAGGTAAAATAAAAAATATCAAAATTACAGCTGATTTCAATAGTTCTTTATTATATAAAATCCAAATAAATTGGTATTATATACAAGTAACTTAAAAAAATAATATATAAAAATTTTATATTAAAAAATAATATAAAACGTACAAATAGTATAAAATATTATAAATACATATTTACATCAATCAAACAAATCACAAACAGAAGATATAAATTTTTTCTCTAATATAAAACAATTATTCAGAGCTAAAAATAAATTATTCATAAAAAACTAAACAGTTACTATTTGTACTATTTCCTAAGGCTAAGATTCGGACGAAAGGGTTTGGTACGTCTGTTGATTTGTTGAGCATCCTGGGCAGGTATGTAGGGTATCATGAATAAACATGTCACAGTCTAAACAGAACACCTCACAACATTTTTCACATTTGTAAACCTGTTAAACACAAAATATATTTTGCTTTGTTTAAAAAGATAAATAAGTTAAAGAAAAAACATTTAACAAATATGGCTAGGATTAATAAGTAAATAATAACAAATAAATTTAATAAGTAAAAATCTCCAAAAATGGATAGAATTAGATAGTCGTCATTTCAGCTATCAGTATGTGGAGTTAACGTGACAACTCCATTTTTCCTATGGCAGTAATTATCTCCTTATGGCTCGGACACACAGAACGCGATACGACGTTACGTTACAATAACGCGCGATACTCACGGCGATATCTAATCCGGGGCAGTCACACAGAGAGCGTTACTTTGAAAGCGATACAGCAGGCCCGTCACTCTGCCTGGCCTAGTCAGCTAGAGTACCTGCTTCCCGCAACTTGTGTATTAATAATTTGTTTTCGATATTTTTCTTATTCATTTTTTTTAATAGAAAATAAGTTATTCTGACGAGGAGGCTCATTAGTTTAGCTCTTCAGCATAAGGTAAAAAAAAAAAAGAAAAAGGATTCATGAAATCAAAAAGCACAGAGCCTGATCGGTAGAATACCATCGCCTCGGCCGTCTTCTTCAATCTTACGAAGATAGATTTTTTCAATATTTGTGAATGTCTATGGACAGCTTTGAGCACCTACATGACATACTCCAATCCAGTACTGAATTGTGATATTAATTAAAACACTGCTAGTGATATTAAGTAAGTTTTTAAAATGGATTTAAATTCAACTTCGAAACGTTAACTAATATATATATGTATTCTTTTACTTATTATAGACTCGGTACTCATCAATTATAAAAGTTAATTTTGTTTTGTTTTCCCCCTTTTTTTTCATTTCTCATTTTTTTGTTTCGTATATATTGTTAATGTACTGAAATGTATTTTTTTATTATTAGAGATTAATTGTTCAGTTATTGGATTTTATGTTTGCTTTCTTTACATTTATGTTCTTTCTTAAACATAGATTATTTTATTATGAAATTATGATTGAATGTTTTGTATATTGCAAGATTATTTCATGTTTTCTGTGTTTTTTTAATCTACTTTCAATAAATCTATCTAATTTAATGACTTATTTATTGTATATATATTATTTTTCTGTATAATTTATTGTACATAGAGTGTGAATGTGATCTCTGAACACTATTATAAATGTCCTATGAACCAGATTGTAAGATTTTTCAATAAATAAGTTAAATAGAATAAAAAATTTAATTAAATTAAATACCAAGCATTTTGGCCAGAATTAAGTCGTTTCTTTTGTACTATTTTTTTATTCTAAAGGCAGTTCGTTCCAGAATAAAGTTATTTTTTTATGCTATTCCATTTTATTATACATATAAGACTTTTTTTTTGCTACATACAAAGAAGAATTCTTTTTAAACATAAAATATATGGAACTTTTTAGAAATATTTTCTAATATAGGTATTTATAATAAGGATTCAAGAGTTTTTAACAATCATGATTTTATTCATATGCTTTAAATAATCAGAAACTCTAATTGTAAATATATGTTGATTACTATTGTCTTGATCGTTAAATAATAAATATTTGGGTCTTTTTACTTAAATATCGCCAGTAACTTTTAGTAAAAAAAAAGTTATTATCTAGAAATCATATGTCATAAAAGAACATTTTTTTTTTTAACATTAATATTAAAAAAGATCTCTAAATAGTTTTACCATTTTTAGAAAGGTAAAATTTCACATCATGAACTCGGGAACATTTCATTTTCTGAGCAATATTCGTTTCTTCTGCATCATTTTAATACCCTTTAATTGTGATGAAAGAATATTATTTAATTTAAAGAAGTACATTAAAATTTCACACGCTCAATAGAATAATATGTTCATAATTCAGGTTATAACTTCATTTAGCTTAATTCCCTCTTAAAATTTGAGGTTTTACGTTTCAGGATACGTAGATTCGAAAAACGAATACAAATTTTTTTGTCTGTCCGCCGTCCACGCATTCTCCGAAACTACAGGACAGATTTTTTTCAAATCTAGAAAATCAGAAGTCTTCCGAGGTTGATCCTCCTTCACTGACATTACCATCCGCCTTTTACTTTCAAAATGGCGGCCGAAAAACCTAGGTTGCTATAGACTATAGCGCCTAAACGAATTCACCGATTTTAATGAAACTTCTTTAAAGTCATTTTCTCGACGCCATTTAACTTTATCTATATAACATACATATAAAAAAAGCTGTGAAAAAAGTAACGAGGGGTGGTGAAATGAAATTCCGAATACCTCAAAAAGTATACACTTTTTTGTCGATGTTGTGATAAGTTGTTTGAAAGGTATTTAAATTTCCTAAAAAATGAATGAAGTTTCATCGAAATCAAAGCACTATTAGTAAAAATATCGCGATTTAAATATATTTTTGGTTTATTATTTTCAATAATGAACCATTGTGTTCGACCAAAAACTTAAGCCCCTCTTAAAATTTGCCTCTCTTACGTTTCAGGATACTTAAAATTCGAAAAACGAATACAAAATTTTTTGTCAGTCCGCCGTCCACCATCCACCTTATGGCTATAATGATTTTTTAAAGGTTTACGGGATTTCCAAAAAAAAAAAAAAATTAGGAACAAAGATATAGTCTCTAATTTTTTTTTTAGATGTTCTACTGCAAAGGTTTTATACATATATTTATATTTTGTTTTGTTTTTTAAATTTTGAATGTGTTACTGAAGTAATGATATATTTTTAGCACTAACTACTAATGATTAAAAAAACAGTTTAGTCCAATAATTGGAATCACCTTTTTCTTTATAACTAGGAAGGTAATGTTACTTTACATGTGTAATTGTTTGGAAATAATAAACCATTTTGCAATAATTTGCAGCGTTTTTTTTTTTCAAATTAATTAACGTTATATGTATATGAAAAAAAAATCTTACAGGCTGAAGCCCTCCCCACAAAATTAAATCTGGATCCGCTAGTGTATATCACCACTATTAGTGCAAAAGATCTATGTAAAAATTTTCAACTTTTATTGTATTTGTATTAAACTAGACATTTTGTAGTCGGCAACTGAAGTAAGTAGTCTGCTACTATGGAAAGTAGCAGATGACAATAAAATATGAAATATACTAATAAAGCATAAAGAAATAATTAGTTTTTATGCACTCTTGTAAAACAATAAATTTTTACTAAGTCCTTAATAAGACCTTTTACACTAACAGTATTGAAATTCATGTTCAGTGTGCATTTTTTTTATTAAAGATAATCAAATATGGAATCTTCAAATACACCACTGTTTTGTTGAATGTTGAAGGGTAACTGTATTTCCGAATCTGCTTCTCCCAGAGTTTTTTCTCATACGAAAAATGGTATACCTTGTAATATACAATGACAACGGTGAGGAAGCTATACGGACCTTACTTGGCAGAGGTTTTTTTTATTTTGAAACTACTACCTGACTAGTTTAAAAGTAGTGTTATTTAATTGATCGGGCATTGATTGATAATATGGATGTTTTTCGTCCAGAGAGACAAACCACCAGCCAACTTCATTTAGGTCAGTACAATCTTAATAATTTATTAAATCATGTGTATTTCTCAAATCTATGAAAGGTTTAAACAAGTAACAAAAAAAAAAAAAAAAATCTGGTGCGGGCAACAAATAACTTTCCCTTACCCCTCTACTTTCAATAGAAATAATTTTCTGGCAATGTTGGAGTATTGAAAATTTTGAAGTGCATTTTAAACGGAGCTAAAGCTTAAAGCTTACAAATAACAAATCTAGTTTTATAAACCACATAACTTCAGTTTTTGAGCCTTTCAATTGACATAATGAATAACTATAATTTCAAGATTTTTTAGTAATGTCATTTTAGTGATATTTCTAGATGGAAAAGTTATATCTATACAGACAGTGAGCAAGTTGATTTCAGAGTAGGTGATTGCAATGTTGAAATATAGAACTGTGAATAAATGTATGAAGTTTGCCAATAAAAACATCACTAAAATTAATAATAAAGAATTTTGAAATTGGAGATAGTCGTTCCAACAACCGAAAGGTTCATATATCCCTAGAGAGATTTGAAAGTACATCTGAATATTTAACCTTTAATGATTATGGGTCGTAGGACTATTAATTATTAATTGTTATCTTCCATTATAAAATTTACTATAATGAAATTACGAGATTTTCGTTGTCTGCCATGGATCGGTTGAAAATTGTCACACTAATTGTAAGTCGACAATGTTGGTATTTCACAAAGGGAAAATTCATAAAATTATTCACTCATTTAATTTTACTTGATGATTTTTTGAAAGAAAGGGCCAATAGATACCTTATAATTTAAATATAATATCATATCTAGAGTTATAAAACTACATCAAAAGTATTTATGGTTATTAATATATACATGAAATATTTTTACATTTCACTTCTTCTTTCACACAAGTACAATTAAATAGTATTTTAAAAATGACATTGGCATGATTCGATGGATTTTAAATACTTTTTTTTCAAACTTAGAAAAAAAACTTTAAAATTTAAAATTCAGTAAGAAAATTTCGCTTAATTTCATTGGAAACATGTGATTTACGTTAAGTAATGTTAGTTTTCTGAAATTATTATTTCTATTTTTTTTGTCACTCTGCGTTACTTTCTACACATTTATTTATTTAATATTATTTTTTCTAAAATTCTTTGCTTTCTAACCATATATTATACGTATACCTTCTGATTGTTATTTCGGGAGATTCATTTTCAACCTGAATAAGCGTTTTTCTTTTTTTCTCCAGTTTGCAATTATCATATTCTTTCAAACTTCATATTTAGCCATTTTTTATAGTTACTGTTTAATATAATCCATATCAAAGGTATTTTAGAGGAAGAAGTATATAAATTGGACATTTTAGCTCTGTAAAGTGACATCAATGGGGATAAGACATAAATGATATTAAAGACGACTTAATTATGTAATGATGCACCGAGTTTAATCATAATCGTTAGAGCAGTTTTTGAGAAAATTGTAAAT